CAAATAACATAATTTCAGTTATGTCAATTTGGTTTATTAATAAGATAGAGATTTAAAATTTATATATAAAATAAATATTATAAAAATTATATATTAAAAATAATTAATAAAATTAAACAGATAACATTATTTCAGTTATGTTAATTTGGTTTATTAATAAGATAGAGATTTAAAATTTATATTTAACAAGAATATATGGCGGTTTAAACTTTAATTTTACAATTAAATCAGGTTATTTGTTGGTTTCGGTATATAAATGATAAATTTGAATTATGGTTTATCTTTATAAATTAAAATAGAATTTTAAACAACATTAAAAAATAATTATAAAAAATTAAAGAGAATTTTTGAGAAATACCCCTTTTGGTGTACCCCTTTTCAAAAAAACCTCATTTATCTATCGATTTTCAAAAATATTTATGTTTAATTATGAAAAATTATAAAGTTTTATATGGTTTATAAGGTACTTTTATATAATAACTACTACTTGGAAATTTGATACAAATATTTTATAATGTTTTTATAGGTTTTAAATTGTTTTTACAAGTTTTATAAGGTTTTAAGTGGTTTTTAAAAGGGTTTATATGGTTTTAAAAGGTATTTATAAGTTATTTTACGCTATTATGAAAGATATATTAAAATTTAAACATATATAAAGGTAATTTGTGTGTATATTTATAAGTTTTCACATATATTTGGATAAATTTCAATATTTAAAGTGGTTTTTTAAATAAAGTTTGAAAGAGGGGTATTTTAAAAAGTTGTATGAAAAAGGGTATTTTTGATGATTAAAAGTAAAAAAATTGATATTTATATTAAAAAAATGTGTAAGCTTATATATTTAGACACAAATTATCTTTATATGTGTGTAAATTTAAATACCATATAAAAATCTTTTTAATATTATTAAAAAACATATAAAAACTTTGTAAAACTTATAAAAACCTTACAAAAGTCTTATAAATGCCGTTTAGAACCTTTTTAAAACTTTATAAATATTTGTATTGAGTCTACCAATTGTAATGATGATTTAGATGTACCTTATTATCAATATAAAAGTTAACAATTTTCATATTTGAAAAGGGATATTTTTAAAATGGATAGAAAATTGGTGTATTTTTAAAAAGGGGTACACCAAAAGGGGTATTTCTCAAAAATTCTCTTTCAACTATTAACCTAATTTTTGGTTTTGCCACTTGTAGGTTTTACAATTATAAGGGCTATTTGTTGAGTTTATAAATCTGCATTATAGTTTAGATTTTATAATTAAACGAGATTATTTATCTGTTTGGATTTATTAAAGAGGAGTGAGATTTATGTTTTACAATTAAACAAGGTTATTTATCAGTTTTATGAAAGTATTATAAATGACCGTTTAGAACCTTTTTAAAACTTTATAAATATTTGTATTGGGTCTCCTAATAGTAATGATTATCTAGATGTACCTTATAAACTATATAAAAGTTTACAATTTTTCATATTTAAGGGATATTTTTAAAATGGATAGAAAATTGGTGTATTTTTAAAAACGGGTTCACCAAAAGGTGTACTGCTTAAAAATTCTCTTTCAACTATTAACCTAATTTTTGGTTTTGTCAGTTGTAAGTTTTACAATTTACAAATTTGTATTTAATATCATATTTTATATTGATGTTAATTTGAAAGAACTTTACCATCATATTAAATAATAATTAATTAATTTTTTATCATATTAAATAATAATTAATTAATTTTCATAGTCTGAGAATGATTTTTTGAAAAATTGAAAGTTAAGAAATAAATTTTTTTACAAAATGGTATAATCATGTTTTAGAGGATAATTGCTAAATTAAGATTTTTTAAAATATTTTAGCAATATTATGAGTAATGATGATTAGCTCCCAAATAGCTCCCAAATGTTTTGGTGATTGTCAATTTGACATTACTAGATTTATATAATTAATGTTTAATAACAAATTTTAAGAGATATATATACACGTTTATTAGATACTTCAAACCAAATAAAATCTCTTTCCAAATGAAATTGATTTCTATTATTTTTTCAAAAAAAAAAATTGGAAATTATTTTTTTATAAGTTATAATCAATTTTAATTTTAATTTAATTTTAAATAAAGATAACCCGTCCATCGGACGGGTACTAAACTAGTGTATATATAAAGTTTAGATTTTCTCTATTCTCTTACGACCCCATCATTTGTCACATTACCATTCATCTTTTTCTTCTAAATAAAAATTTCATTTTTTAAAGTTGCGAATGCAAAAAAGAACAAAAACAAGACTACAACAGAATTAAGCAAGATTTGGGTTAAAAACATGAGTTTGCGCTAACGCTTCCTTAGTCTTCTTGATGATATGTTATTGGAAATTTTGCGAACGATCAACTTGAAGACTACTTGAGGAGACAAACGCTCGGAATTATGCAAGACGTTGTTGTGGTGCCGTCAAATATTGTAGACTATCGCTTGAGATGTTAGCTTATGAAGGAGAGCAGGGGTTGTCGGAGAAGAGAGTCGACTCCAAGAGAGCAGGTCCGACCATGAGGCAAAGAGTAGCTATCGATGGTATAGCTTAGAAAAGACCAACATCCAAAGGTGGGAAGAAAAAATCACAAGCTAGGAAGAGAGGATCCCGAAATTCCAAAAAACGAGCATAGACAACACTTTGAAGACTGGATATGTCCCCAGGAAATAAGCTTTGCATGGGTAATCTATCAAGATGACTTACCCATATATAGAAAGCATGCTATAGGACAACCCTTTTGAACCAAAACATAATCTGCCAAATCCTTTCCAGAATGATACACTAAATAAAGATCACACGAGTCGGAGAGGGATTAGCAAATGCTATGACGACGTCGTCATCTGTGTATCAAAGTTAGTGTTACAGAGTACGAACGCTGCAAAAAACATCTACTTTTTTATTCATACATTAACTAAACATTATGTATTTAGCTGCATATATACCCTTTTACCCTCTCAGATGCATTTTATTCTTGGCATACAAAAATGCAGTTATTATTATTATGAAATTAAAGAAAACACAAAACAGAAAATTCATAAAGAAAGAAAGTGATTAATGATGATGCTACTTAACATAAAATTTAGGTATTGTATAAAAATAATAAAAAGCTACATGAAAAATGTTAATTAATAACGTATATTAAAAGAGGAAACAAAAAATAATTAGATGCAGTATCTAGACGCGGTTTCTTTTTTTTCTGGTAAAAAAGGACGCGGTTTCTACACGTAATAACCTTAATTTTTGTTTTTACAAAGTTCCCAATAAATCCATTCAACATTATTTGACTCTAAAATGCACTATAGTAGTCAACTAACCAAAATATAACATATGGAGATAGTTTCAAGTTATTACATTCCTTAATTTATCTTTGGTTTTTCCTATATATAAGATCACTAGGATTTTCTTTTTACAAACACACAAAAAAAGAAAAAGAAAAGAAAAGAAAAAACAAATAAAATGGGGAAGAGAAGAGTAACCTTGGATTGGGCCAACCAGAGAGTGAGGAGAGCCAACATTAAGACAAGGCTTGCTGGACTCATCAAGAAAACGAATGAACTCTCGATTCTTTGTGACGCGAGAGATTATCTCGTGGTGTTTAATCGTGAAATAGATCAGTTTGTGGTGTGGCCATCTACCCAAGAGGCGAATTCGCTCATGGAGAAGTACTACTCTTTGACCGAGCGTGAAAGGAGCAAGAAGGCCGTTGATCCGGAGTTATTCATCGAGGCTAATATCCAAAAAATTGAGAAGAAAATAGATGATGCTCGGAAGGCTATCGAGGAGTTAGAGATGGAACATCTCATGTTACTCAATCATGGTCGTGTACTTGCTGATCTTTCCCTAACCTTGATTGATAAACTGCGGTCATATACTGGTAAGAAAATTACTTCTTTCAGAAATGAGATTATGGATCTTGACCCTATGAGTGTCGACGAGGCATCTCCTGAAGATACGATCCTGAGTGATTCCAATGTTCCATCTGCTGGGTGGACTGAGAATGGTTACAACGTCATGGAAACTACAATTGTCCGTTACTATGATGATTGGGGGGTCTCTAATGAAAATCGTTTACCCAAAATGGTCAATGAATTTGACCTAAACATGGAACCATCTGATGTTGGAGAAGAAAACTTGAGGGAAACCTCTAAAGAAGAGAGTATCAAGAATGCTGGTGGTGCTGAAGAGTGAAGACGATACCGAGTAAAACTGCCGTCGAAGTTGACATGACAACGCATGCTTATATAGTTATACTAGCAGTTGACCCGCGCTCCGCGCGGGAAGTTTATAATTTTGTTTCGTTGATTATTTATTCATATTGTGATATTTTATTATTATTTTTAATTGATTTTCAAAAAATATTATAATTATTTTCTCTTTAATTATTATCTTTCAATACTCAAATTTAGATTAAAAGCATTTGATTTAATTTATGAAATATCATTTTTTTCTTTTTGATCATGTTATAAACTAATATTTTACTTTCATTTTATTTTTTCTCTTTATAATTTTATATATACAATTACATAAATGTTGTTTTAGTCTACCATAAATTTAAATTTTACTTTCATTCTAAAACTCAGTAACATATTTAAAATATTAAATTATGATCAATTTAAAATGAAAGTTGAATAATATTATTACCACTAATAAAAAAATTAAAGTATTGTTTTTCTTATTTTAACATTTCATTTTTTACATAATTTATGTTATTTATATAAACTTTATATTAATTAAATAAGTAACATAAATATGCACTAAATGAATTTTTTAAATTTATTTTAATGTTTAAACAAAAATGTGGCTTAGGTGGATGATTAGGTGGCATCATGAGAAGAGAGAAAAAGCTAACTTTATATATATAGATTCTTTGAACAACTAAGACCAACTAAAACAAAAAAATGGTCTTCAAATCAGCAACTAGTTTGACAAAAAAAAAAAAAACTTAAACCAAATTTAGTTCTACTCCAATTTCAGCACTATTTTCTTTATCAATATTAACCGGTTCAATTATGTTCTGTTTGGAACTATCTAACAAACTAAACTGATCTAAATTTACTTGATATACCACTGAAATTAACAAACAAACCAAATAGTACCAAAATTAACCGAAATTATTCAGTAGTAAACCGAAAATTCTCCTTTACAAACCGAACCAAACTTCAATTTATTATAACTCGGTCAAATTGTTCAAACCGAACATTGAAATACCAAAATATCGAACCAAACCAGACCGGCTTAGTTAGAAACAAAAGTCTAAAAAACTCAAAACCTCTCTCTCCGAGCTCGGCGAGTTTAGAGATGGCGAACAATACGGTGGCTACGGCGGAGAAATCACCGGTTGAGTTACTTCAAGAGACCAAAGCCTCCGTCAAAGCCATCGTCGCGAGGATGCTCTCAATCAAGCAACAAGGAAACCCCAAATCCGAGAATCGAGAACTCCTCACTCAGATGTTTCTCAATTTCATAAATCTCCGTCAAGCGAATCGTGCGATTCTTATAGAAGAAGAGAAATTGAAAACTGAGACGGAGTTAGCAAAGTCTCCGGTGGATTTCACGACGTTGGAGCTTCACAATCTCATGTATGAGAAGAGCCATTACCTCAAAGCTAATAAAGCTAGTAGAGATTTCAAATCTAGGTATCCCAATATCGATCTCATATCTGAACAAGACTTCTTCAATGAAGCTCCTGAAGCAATCAAGTCTCAAACTTTATCAAATGATACTTCTCATGATTTGATGCTTAAAAGACTCAATTTTGAGCTCCATCAGGTAAATGTGATTGAATGTTTTAAGCTTTATACATCTTTCAGTTCAATTTTGTTGCTTAAGAGACTCGAATTAGGTAATGGCTCGAATCGCTCGTTCGACTAAGTTCACGTTTTAGATGTTGTAGGAGGTTTTGGTTCAAATGTGATTTGAGTGTTTAAGCTTTTATGTACAGAGGAAAGAACTGTGCAAGCTTAGAGAAAGGTTGGAACAACATAAGAAGAGTTTGCTGGAAAGTAATGCAGAGCGTAACAAGTTTCTGTCGAGTCTTCCTGTGCATCTCAAAACTTTAAAGAAAGCATCTTTGCCAGTACAGAGTCAGTTGAGTTTGCCGAATCCGAAGAAGCTGAAGTATCATAATTTAGCTGAGCTTCTTCCTCCGCCGCTTTATGTTATATATTCGCAGTTCATGGCACGAAAGGAAGCTTTTGAAGAGAATATCGAACTCGAGGTATCTGGGAGCCTTAAGGATGCTCAAACTTATGCCCGGGAGCAGGCAGAACAGAACTCAGGTTAGCAGTTGTGAAACTTTTTGTTGAAATTGGTACTTGATTATGGAGTCCTTATTTGCTCTTTAAAATGCCATGTATGTTCAATATTACAGAGAGTCTAAGATTGGAGGATAATGGTGAAGATGGTGATGGAACAAGGCAAAGGAAACGATTCAAGAAAGAGGGTTCTGATGAGGGAGGACTATATCAAATTCATCCTCTTAGAGTTGTCCTTCACGTAAACGATATTGAGATTCCAGATCCAAAATCCCATAGACCTGTCGTTCTCAAGTTTGAGTACTTGTTGAAGTTGAACGTTGTATGTGTTGGCATTGAAGAGTCTCAGGATGAACTTGAGAAAAATATACTGTGTAACTTATTTCCAGAAGATACTGGTCTTGAGCCTCCTCATCAGGTGCATACATATATCCTTTTTATCACTTTACATAACGACTATTTTCGTAAAAGCATTGATACTTACTTTCTTTTGTTGGTTTGTTACCCTCTACGTTTATTCAGTCAGCCAAGCTCATTCTTGGCGATGATCATTTATTTGATGAGAGCAGAACTTCGAGGCCATATAAGTGGGCACAACATTTGGCGGGGATTGAGATTTTACCTGAGATGTCACCTTTTTTTACTGAAAAGGATACTCAAGATAGTGATACAGCGAAAGACTATGCTTCTGCGTCTGATCACCGCAATGTGCAAACCGTTCTGCAAAGAATACGGTCCCAGAAAAAGGCTAAGCTAACTCTTGTCTGAGTCACCCCACTCAGTATGTTTTTCCACAGTAGTCGAACTTCTTCATATTTGTAAGTCAGTTACTTCTTATATCATCAAAACTTTCTTGGTATTTGTAAACTCTTCACACATGTTATGTTGTAATGAGGCAACGAGAAGAAATAAACAGAATGATATATGCGGCGTTATATTAATTAACAAAGACCGACCTCTGAATCTAGTTAAGCATAGCAATTACAAAGTAAAAAGATTCTTGATGGTCCTGTGTATGTATAGAGCGAGGTTACAATCTTAAAAATGAGAGCTCAACTCAACACGTAAGCTAAGTATGACCACAAGAACTTAATTCACCATTGATTTCACTATGGTCCTGAGGTGTGTCCTCCACAGCTTTTTTCTGGGGGCTCCCTTGAAAAGATTACTTATCTCCATCTGTTGTTTATCCACCAACTAATCTTACACCTTTGAAGCAGAGTGATATCAGACAGTTTGTTTCAGATATAATATATGCAGTTTCGTGTCAAACAAAGTGCAGTAAAGAGATTGGTAAAAGGGGTTTTGATGTCAAACAAAGTTTAATTCATGGCTCTATGAAATCATTGTGTCCTTTAACAAGCAAATCTCAATCCCAACATATTCTCAATGGGAAGGGTTCCCTAGTTTTCACCAGTAGGAACTATGGTGGGTTTAAGTCGCATAAGCCGAATTAATCTCATATGGTAAGCAAAATAGTGTAAAATGGAATAAAGAGTTGCCTGATACTTTTGCACTTCCATCTTTGCATGTAACAACCAAAACAATTCACTAGGAAGTTTTCTACACAATGAGAAACTGAGCCAGCTCTGCGCAAGAGTTTCCAGGAGCTGCATAAACCCCAAACAACATGCAAATCTAAAAAGACATAAAAACAGGGCATTTGGTGTAAGTTACAGATGTGGCTCTGATCAAGATTTTGGCAGCTACAATGTGATAATTACTAATCCTTATTTCCTGATCTCTAGTAAAAAGTAGTTCAAATACTTTTCACCCTCTTGAAGAATCTAGTTCTCATCCTGGACAAAAAAATTCAAGCATTGATATGTTCTTCAAAGGAAATTAAAACAAAATTGCAACAGAAGTACCTTTGAGAAGTAAATGAGTGAACATTTCCACGGGTACAGAAAACACATCTTCCACTTCAGCAGGATTTGGTGTTTATATTGATTGCTTTTTTTGTCCTGTGTAAGACTCTTATCACAGAATTACACTACAGAGATGCCGTATTAGAGAAACAAGGACAGATAAGAAAAAACACTCTCCAGAAAAGGATCTCTCTCTCTCTC